GACTTCGTGCTAGCACAGCTATTGACAGCACCTAATTTCACTCACAATGCTTGGGTGAAACTAGTTTTCAGGCACTTTCTGGGATTGACCTCTCCAGCCCAATAACATCAAGAAGTCTCCTTGCTAACAAATCAACCATGGTAAGATTCGAACCCGGGTCTCATGATCGGAATACGAACGTTCTAACCACTCGGCCACGAGGACTGATATTACATAACGGTTCTCTTCTTAATCGAGGATCTGTGGTCAATCTGCAAGGAATGATTTCGTGGAATGGACATACGAAATATTGACATGAGCACTGGGTCGTGTTTCATTGGAAAAACACGAAAAAAGTAAATAGTAACGGAATTCTTCGTTTTGTTTCAATTAATTTGCACAAGATTGTACTTCCAAGATATAATGTTAGATGATAACACGATCGGCTTATCCCTTTTTCGTCCAGAGTTCACACAGTACAACCAGTCACATAAGTACACACAGCCCCAGTCCTCGTGGGAGGGTTAATATTACATAACAGTTGTGTACTCTTTTCTTTGTTTCTAGCGAAATTATTTGTTTGTTAATACTTTGCTTAATTTATTGGAAGGCATCGTTCACTGTCTTCGGATTTCGGTGTCATATTTCCTTGACATACAAACACTTCCCAAATATGTAAATTTTCATACTTTTTTGATTTTCTGTCTATATTAGGCAGTAACAATTATTTACATTATTTACATTGTTCAGTCTGTTGTCCTCATCTTTATTGTCATATTGACGATATTTTGGCCATTGTACTCTCCGGCCTTCTTCAGGTGATTGGAGCACATAGCCTAGGGGACAAAAGCACTGGTTGGATCCAGTGACTTGACCCAAAGATTTATGAGCTCAATATCTGGCTACCGCAGTGGTGAACAAAAACTTGTAGAGTTGAGTTCAAGAGAGATAAATTAGACATCCGGAAGAGGCATGGCACGTGGACCTAGAACAATCTACTCCGGTGGATGAAATAAAAGGTTTAATTCGAAATTCCTATCATTTGAAGAAGGTCGGAGCGTATAACGGCTGAAATGTCGTGAATATGGCAATAAAGATGAGGGCAACAGTCCGAACAATGTAAATAATGTAGATAATTACAATGCCTCATCTCAGAAATAGAGACAGAAAAACATATGTTATATTTTTATTACTTCCAAATTCTCAAGAAACTTAAATTTCGACATTAAATGAACCATAAGGAGTTGATATGCAGTTGAACAGGCAAATTATTAAAAACTACGAAAAACAGGAAATTGTGGAGAGCCATCATCGCTTACGTTATGAAGAGACACAGCACATAAAGAAGAAGTAAAATCATTTTCTTACTACTGTTCATCATTGTTACCTTTATACTGTTGCCAAATATAACGAACAAATATGATGGTCTCAACTTAAAAATTGAATATCATGACCGAGTCTTATTCAAAATTACATTTCATTCATAAACGAGAAAAAATAGATGGATAATAATTTTTAAAATCTAAAAAAAAAAATAAAAAAAATAAAAATAATTTAATAAAAAATACAAAAAAACTAATGGGCTATTATTTGTAAAATTGCGAAGTTGAAAAAAAATGTCTTTTTTGCAGGTCGTCTGAAATCGATTGAAAATTAGATATTAAAATGATGGCAAATTATATATATACACATATATAGATGTGTGTGTGTGTGTGTGTGTGTGTGTGTGTGTGTGCGCGTGTGTGTATAGGTGTGTATGTAAACGTGCGTACGTGTGTGTGTATTAGGATGAAGAATAGGTAAAAGACATCATCTTGGTGCAATTTATCCTATTTGAAAAAATCACTACCATTTTAACATAGCTTGTTAAAAATAGTAAACCCCTGAATTAGCGATCACACACACACACACACACACACACACACATATATATATATATATATATATATATATATATATATATATATATATATATATATATATATATATATATATATTATAGAGAGAGAGAGTTGTAAGCTAGGGAAGGTTATTGAATAGAATAATCACACGAAGTTTGAACGATAATACTTAGGACACGAACAACACATAAGATTCGCTAGCGGCGTGTAGAGTAGTCAACTGCTAGAAGTGAGTCAAGTGAATTCCACAATAAATCTCCAACTGCAGGATAACTACCAACCATCCCACGCGGTCAGATGTGGTACAAGGCCGAATTTAATGTGGGGTATCCGAGTCCAGAGGCTCAGCCGAAAATTCCCCGTAGTTCCTGTATAAAACAGGGTCGGGTAGCTGTTTCGCGAGACAAGAGTCTGCCCTTCGACATAGCCTCGTCTGGGGATCATCTCTGCCCGGAGTTTGACCAGCACAGCTAAAGACGAATCTCCAACTTCAGGATATCTACCAACCGTCCCACGCGGTCAGATATGGCACAAGGCCTAATTTAATGTGGGTTATCCGAGCACGTATGCTCGGCTAAAAATTCCCGAGACGAAACTCGACCCTTTGACATAGCCTCGTCTGGGGTCCTCTCTGCCCGGAGGCAGAGAGTTTGACCAGCACAGCTGGAGACGAATCTCCAACTGCAGACCAACTTACAGTATTTACTACTGTATTTATGTGAATGGGGACATACTCATTATTGTACGTAGGTATGCTACAACATATATATAAATAGTCCTGGGTATGACATCCAACAGAAAACCCTCTGATAAGAAAATTGGAGGCTTTGAGGAGTGTGGAACTACTTGCAAATTGCTGTTGTTCTCAAATCCGCTCTGAAACGGGGTGGTAGAACCTGTCAGGGTCACAGCTGTGGCAAATAGTAAACACTCGGGAAAGAGTGAAACACTATGAAAGTATAAAAATATATGTTTATAGTAAAAATACCAATAATACATTTTTATATAAAAACTTACCAATAATAGTTATTTATAGCAAAATTATCGATACTACATCAACGAAAATGAAAGAACTCTTTTATGACATTAATTCATATAATCTCCGACAATTTCTTAGAGAAATCAAAATGTATTCAAAGATTTAACTTCAACAAAACTACAACATAAAACACATACAGAACTGTCTCTAGTAATTATGTCCACACAAACATGTATATCTATAAAAGCTGAGTATCATCTACCATGTATTCAACTGTGAAAGCAGAATAACAAAACTACAACATAAAAACACACAAGAAAATCTAGTAATTATGTCCATACAAACATGTATATCTATAAAAGCTGAGTATCATCTACCATGTATTCAACTGTGAAAGCAGAATAACAAAACTACAACATAAAACACACATATCACCGCCTCTAGTAATTATGTCCATACAAACATGTATATCTATAAAAGCTGAGTATCATCTACCATGTATTCAACTGTGAAAGCAGAATAACAAAACTACAACATAAAACACACATATCACCGCCTCTAGTAATTATGTCCATACAAACATGTATATCTATAAAAGCTGAGTATTCTCTACCATGTATTCAACTGTGAAAATAACAAAACTACAAATATAAAACACACATATCACCGCCTCTAGTAATTATGTCCATACAAACATGTATATCTATAAAAGCTGAGTATCATCTACCATATTCAACAGTGAAAGCAGAATAACAAAAATCACAACATAAAAAACACATATCATGCTACCATTCACAAACATGTATATCTATAAAAAGCTGAGTATCATCTACCATGTATTCAACTGTGAAAGCAGAATAACAAAAACTACAACATAAAACACACATATCACCGCCCTAGTAATTATGTCCACACAAACATGTATATCTATAAAAGCTGAGTATCATCTACCATGTATTCAACTCAGAAAGCAAAATAACAAAACTGCAACATAAAAACACACATATCGCCGCCTCTAGTAATTATGTCCATACAAACATGTATATCTATAAAAGCTGAGTATCATCTACCATGTATTCAACTGTGAAAGCTGAATAAGATATATAATGTTTTAGTTACTTCAAAGCTCCAAAGAAAATTAAATTTTGGCGTTAAATGGCACATGGAGTTGATATGCCATGAAACAAACAAATCAATCAAATGAATATATATATATATATATATATATATATATATATATATATATATATATATATATATATTATGAAATGGACAAAGTCCGACAATTTTTTAAGACATTTTTATGTTTATCTGTTCTTTTTATAGATACAAATATTTAAGTAAATGCTCTGTTTATAATAAACAGTATTAAAACAACATTTACTGGCCGGAATGTTCGAGAAATTTTCATAGAAAATATGCGTCCTTCGACAGGAATCGAACCTGTATCCTATACGGAACCATCATATAGCCTGACGTGCTTTTACCGATTGAGCCACAGAGGAGCCTTTCGGTTAGCAAGATCGATTTTACTGTTTTTACATTACAATTTCATAATGTGTCACGTCATTTGTTTACATTTGGATACGCATCGAGCAGATATGAATGTACGAGAGAAAATCATGGAGAATTGTAGTTTAAAGACAGTAATATCGACCTTGCTTCTGTCTCCTTCTTTCAGAAAAAATCCTTCAAGCGACCATAATAACACAATTATAGCATACCACATCTCTCTCTCTCTCTATATATATATATATATATATATATATATAAAGTTGTAGAATCTGCCTGTTTGTTATCGAACTCCTTCTAGTGTTTTAGAGATAGACCGCCATAACCATATATATATATTCTGAAACTACATTACCCAGGGTACTTTAATAAGTATATTTCATTTTGATGAAAGTGGGTACCCGCGAGCACACCTCACACTGAATTTTTTTTTTGATATGAATTAAATTTAAATTTAAACAAGGTAATGACTCCTAGAGTACGTGGATAAGTATATTTCCTTTTGATGAAAAGGACTTCCCGAGGGAGATTCTCACTGCGCAGCAATACTTGTCTGACGCGATCCATATTTTCTGGGGTACGTACCGTTCGTGGAGCCCCTACCAATCTGCTGTTCATTAGTGTACCTCATGTACGAAGTACATGATCTCAACGTCAGTTTGTGTTACGAGTGAGAAGAGCCTGATTTCGCTGAATGTTGAATGGGCGACGAAACTAATGCTGATCTGTTGTGACAGACTCATTATTTTTCACGAAACTGTCGTAGACGAACATGCAGTGCTCTATCCTCCACACCGTCATGGCTTCATCTGAAAAGAAGAAAATGCTAAGAAACCACGGACCTAGTTGTACCTGACGGACACATTTTCCTGCGTCCTCTCTCTCTCTCTCTCTATATATATATATATATATATATATATATATATATATATATATATATATATATTTATTATGTTGTAATAGTTATTACGTGGCAAAACAAGAAGTAGCAGCAGAGAAAACAACAGTCCTAAAGAGGGAAAGCATTACTGAATGTGCTCACGAAACTTCGAAGTCGGCATGACTGAACCAACACCACTCAGTTAAGTGATAAGTTTCTCCATATTAATTCTTTCTCTCTCTCTCTCTCTCTATATATATATATATATATATATACACACACACACACACATATATATATATATATATATATATATATATATATGAAGAGATGATGTATATAGGAGATATGCCGTTCATAGATATAGACGGTATGGACATAAAATCAACAATATACAGGGTGGTCCGAAAGTCTTGTCACCTCTACGAATATAATTTTTTTTATTTCAGATGGCTGACACGCGTTCTTACAGTTTGGAATAGAGGGTTGGAGTAACAAGACTTTTGGACCCCCTGTATATTGATAACTATATACAGAGAGAAAATAGGGGAGGAGGAAATCGGCCTGTCCCTGTACTTTTGTTTCAGTGTAATTTTTTTAGGTTATCTCATAAATACCTAGATCTATAATGTACCTTATTTGTCATAGTCTTAGCGATTTTTATTAACGACAAGCGACAAAGAAATATTTTTTCTAATTACTTTTTGTTGGTAATCTTAATAAAACAAAGTATTTTTCATTACATTTTTTGTTATAATTAGGTCGACAGACAGTTCCTACAATTTCCCTCCCAGTCTCAAACAAAAAGAATTATGATGTATTCAGTCAATAAGCTCAATTAGGCGAATTCAAGGAGAAAATACAAACCTGCATATATTCCGACTACGTTTCTAAAAAAGTAACATTTTTCTTGAAAATAAATATATTTTCATATCTATCTATCTATCTATCTATCTATCTATCTATCTATCTATCTTCGTATATGTCAATAAACAATGAATTTTTGAAAAAAGTCCGACATTATTCCTTATAAACGTTACATTCAATCAGTACACTTGCTTGAATAAACAGTGAAATTAATGTCTACTTGCCTAGAGGTCTTAGATCTTAAAAAAGAAATGCTACTATCTATCTATCTATCTATCTATCTATCTATCTATCTATCTACATCTGTTGATTATCTATCTATCTATCTATCTATCTATCTATCTATCTATCTATCTATCTACACATCTGTTGATTATCTATCTATCTATCTATCTATCTATCTATCTATCTATCTATCTATCTCACCTCTTATCTATCTATCTATATATATATATATATATATATATATATATATATATATATATATATATATTGCAGAGTCATATTCGTACTGACCAATGAATTGCAAAACCTTTTCAGACCGCCAGAACGTCCATATATACCTCTATATTTGAGAGATGTATGTAACTCCCACGTATATATTCCGATCAGTTGGATACAATATGGAAAAACCATTTGTATTAATGATAGTTCTGATTTTCACCTGCTGCATAAGGTTGAGAATGTTCACCCGAGAAAAGTTTCTCTTTAAAGAAATATATCAACAGAAAACGCTCTCATTTTCTACTCACGACCATTGCAATAACCACTAAGTGAACTCTGTTTCACTCTTCCGCTGCTGTGGACGTACCTACACGTCATTCCGGAACTTACATTATTCGTTGTTTATATATATATATATATATATATATATATATATATATATATATATATATATATATATATATATATATACGTTTTCGTTAACGTTTGCGTTATAAACTAACCAGAGCTTAGATTTGTTTTGTGACCTATTTTTTATTATTATTTTATGTGTTGAGCAAGGTTTCCCAACCTGAGCGATATCGCCTACCGGTCGGCGATTTCAACTGTTGGCTAGGCGATGTACAATTGAACAAAAAAAATGCTGGGCAATTAGAAAACATTGTGGGCGATATATGATTTTGAGTATTAAAAAGGTATTTCGAGATATGCTACTCGAAAAAAATATTCAAAGGAAATATGCAAAGGACGTGTATAAAAACACACGCAGACAAAATAGAAATAAACAGGAGACTATTTGGTAATAAATGAGTCACATTCTTAGACAAGATATAAATATCCCCGCAAACAAGGAACATCTTGGTATTTTCTACCGTTATGTCAAGAGTCATCAACATTTAAATAATTCTTCAGATGAAATAACATTTCTTTCGATATAAAATCAAATATAAATCAGATAAGAGTTTGGTGAGGGAAACCAAAAACAATAACAAAAATTTTTGCAAACTATTTATTAGTTGCTAGTAGCGTATATTCCTTTTAATTTTATAATTATGAACAAAGATCTTTTAATTTTTTGTCAACACTTGTAAAGCAAAATGCAATGTCAATCGTTTTCTTTTGTCTTCTTAATTCCTGTTCTTTTATTGTTCTCTCTCCTTAATAATCTTTTTCTTTTCCTCATATACTTTCACACTCAGTAACCTCTAGCGTCTTACTGACTTTTAATATATATATATATATATATATATATATATATATATATATATATATATATATATATATATATATTATACTTTATACACTTGCTTCATATGTGGCCTCCTTTGTAAATCATTAGCGGGTCTTAAATGCCACTTAAGATTATCGAACAAACTTTCATAACTGAATCAATTAAGCTGTCAGATCCTCATACGTCGAAACCGACGGGAGAGTCCATTATATATATATATATATATATATATATATACATACATACCAGGTGAAACAGCAATTTTTCTCATATTCTTTCACATTCAGTAATCCTTTCCATATGAATAGATAGATAGGTTCGTCCATCACCCGGTTTATTCTCCTTTACCGTGTTTTGAAAAGGACTAGAGGTTTATCCCTTGTTTCCTGTTTAGGATTGAGTTTCCGGTTCCTTCTCTTAATGTTTTCTCATTCACTTTTACTAATAAAAGTTATCTTGTCCATAAAACTAAATTATATATATGTAGTTTTCAGTGGCCAGGTTTGCTTTCGCTTGTTCTTTAATACAGTAGTAGCAGCAGCCGCCGCATAAATCGGTGTTATTTGTTATCTTCCTTTGATTTTTTTTACTACATCACAAAGTAAGTATATGAACCAATAACAAACATTTACGAAAAAATATTCATATGCTTTTGAATATTTACTATACAGGTGGGCGGTTGAAAAAATATTTCCATGTGAAAATGAGCGATGACGCAAAAAAATTTGGCAACCCCCCTGCTGTAGAGTCGCAATCGTAACCGATTAAGTGGCGCCCATAAAAAAAAGGATGGGCAATAATGATATATTTCCAGTAAATGGAATGTTCCTATTTTTCACAAAACAGGCCAGAATAGCCAGGCAATAATGTGATAACAAGACAGCGGTAAAAAAAGCTAATAATTCTGTAAAATAATACGGTAGGCGAGTGTGGTGACATTGTACAGTTGTCAGATTTGGCTTTGACTGTCTTGAATAAAACACATCTTTTCGAAGGAATTATTTTCAACACATTGTAGAATGCCATTCCCTGCTTGCAAGACTGATTCAAAAGGTCCATTGTAGAATTGTAGTTTGTCGGAAGATCAATATTCGACTGCTTTCAGTTTCAACCTGCTAATCTGTGAATCGGGTTCCTCTTAGAAACTATAAAAGTCCCTCGAGGGTGGATTTCCCCGTGGTTGAGCATAATTGTCAAACATGATTAATTGTTACTTGAAAACCAACCATGATCTGGCCGACCTTCAACAAGCCAAACTGAAAGGTTTGCCACGGAATCAATGGAGATCTCTGGCGACCCATTGATGAGATATCAGAGGAAATTGTTTTTTGTTCGGGTTCATGCCAGTGAATGTTAGAAAATTTGAAAATGAAACGTTTTTCGGCAAAATTCGTGACCAGCTACTCACAAAATATAAAAAAAAAGCTACTATTGTTTGAATACATGCCAAAATTGGAGGGAACATTTTCAGAAGGTCATTTTGGGGGTACATCCGTCTCCCTATCTACCTCCCGTCTTTCTTTCTCTCTTTCTCTTTTCCTCCTACTCTCTCTCTCTCTCTCTCTCTCTATATATATATATATATATATATATATATATATATATATATATATATATATATATATATATATATATATATATATATATATTCAGACCTGTATTATTAAATATAACAGACAACGAATGTTTGTTATGTTTGATCATGAGCTGTTCTAAGCTTCGTATAGTTGCTTTGATTTTGTGAGAATATAAGGCAAAAACTGTCCAACATTTGGATATTTTTTATTATGCTGTTCTTTGATCTAAGTTATCGTCGCACGGCAATCTTCTATGTCAACATAACAGAATATAATTGTAGAACAGTCACGTAGTCAAGATAAACACTCAGTTGTGGAGCAAGCTCCACCTTGAGAAAGAGAGCTATTTATGGTGTCATGGAGCATCTCATTGTGCTAAAGTGGGATAATCCATTGCTTGGGCTGTGATTGGCTGCTGGTACATGAGTGGAGGTATTTCTGTATAAATACCAGCTTGATTCATCAGTTAGTTTGCAGGGTTTGCATTGAGTTACAACCTGCTTTATTTTTGTCTGCCAGCTGGACGCTAGCTGGGACCATTACGCCGGTAAGTGCTGTTTATTGTATTGTTATTCTACAATCATCTTTGATGGTGAATATCTTGGTTTTAATGTACATATGACCCCGCTGAAGATAGGTCATGTATATAGTATTCATTTCTCGGTTCATACTCTCTATGTCTATTTATGTCTATTTGTCTCTCTCTCTCTACATATTTCGTAAAATACATCTATTGGATGCTTTAGTACACATCCTCAGTGATGTTTCTAGCCGAGGTTCATTAGAGGTTTCAGGTCTTTCAACATCATACCCACTCTCCACAGTGACTCCGCCGATACTGATCGGGTATCGACTTGTGTACCTTCCGTTAGCTACATTTTTTTTCCATCTTCCAAACTACACACCATGCGACTTCTTTTGACAATTTATTGTCAAATCCCGGATTGCTTCCGGTTCACCAGTAATGTGCGCTTTTCCATAAAAAAGGAATCATGAATATGGCGGCATGATTGGCTTGAAGTGTTAAGTACCGATTTAATTCCCCTTACACATACATGTACACACAGAGAAATGCGCATAAGCTCTAGCACTTACCCCATTTTCATTCATGCTAATCACCCACCGAAGGAAAAGAAAAAGAGAAAAAAAAATTGTTTCCTTCCCATTTTTTTCTTTTACATCCTTGACCCTCCCACTATGTGAGGCACACACACGCACACACATATCAGTGCCGCCACACACACATAACAACATACAAATCTAAAAACAAAAAACAAAAAAAAACTACCATAACACTGGTAGGGAGCAAACAGGTGCTAGATGTTAGCCAGAGATCACCCGTGGGTAAAAATGGTTTGGGGTACCTTAATTCCGTCCCCTAGACAAGACACCATTGTCGGGTATTTTTTTTTCATTCCAAATATATATATATATATATATATATATATATATATATATATATATATATATCAACCGTAAAAATCCTTTTATTTACTTACTGACTGACAATCACTTATATATATATATATATATATATATATATATATATATATATATATATATATATATATGGAGAGAGAGAAAAGAGAAACGCAATTTTCTTTTTTATTTATTTACTGACTGACAGTCACTTGATACATACATACATATATATATATATATATATATATATATATATATATATATATATATATATATATATATATATATATATATACTGGGAGAGAGAGAGAGAAAAGAGCAATATACCATAATATAGCCTACTATATAAACTGTATTTTATCACACACACACACACACACACACGCACACACACACACACACACACACACACACACACATATATATATATATAACAAGAAAGCACAGTAAGATATATAATACGGTGTTCTTATTGATAATTTTTATTTTTACAAAACAGTGCTCAATGTAAATTTACAGAGCATAAATATTACAGATTAACTGATTTAAAATATAATTTTTTCGCTACACAGCAATAACCATGTTTCAAAAACTTAAGCAAAAACTTCAAATTTAATTATATAATTAAATTAAAAGCGTTAGTTCCGTTACATCCTATTTTAAAATTTAACGCAAAGATACAGAGAAATCCAATCATTCAGACAGGGGTGGTAGCGTGTCCATTTTTATTAACTATTGTTTTATCAATTATGAGTTACGTTCGGAAAAGAGGTCAAGTTTAGGGAGGGTAGGTGTGTATTTTTCAACGAATTCTCAGATCCGTTAAACACATGT